TAAACCGTGCTGGCACGCCCGCGCACAACCGCACCGCACCCAAAAGCAGGAAACCCCGTGTTAACGCACATCCCCTCGGCCCGGAACTCCAGGCCGTGAGATTTGAGCGGCAGACAGCTGCTGCCTCCAAATCAGATCCAATCTATTGCCCAAATCTACCAACTCCATCTCCTTTCATCTTTTTTTCTGATAGCTCTTTCCCTCTATCTCCATATCCTTGAAGTGGAAAATGCAAATCAGACCCTTGATGTCAAGCTTTGGTGGGTATGGGTTCTTGGCGACTGGGAGATGGGGTTGCCGCGACAGTGGCCACGATTCTAATGCTCCAAGTATTACAAAACCGAGGCATTAGAGGCCAAGCAATCCTGAGATGTTCTACAGGGCAGCAACCCGTATTTTTCAATTTTGAATTTCATTTAGGAATGGGTGGGTGATACTCTTACGGAATTTCAATTAATGTTATTGTTATTTGATTTGGTTGTTTTTGGTTTCTTAAGTTTGATGTATTTAGTGATTTTCCTTGGTTCAAAATTTGGTTGTTTGGTTCTTGTGAAAATATTCTATCATTGCATTTGTATGCTATTCGGAGCATCTGGATCTACTAATTTGCTGAAATTTCAAATTCAATGTGATTGTTTATTCGTAAATTTTTTCATGTTTGCAATTTTGGGTGTAAATAGCTTCAGTGAAAAAAAAAAAAGGGGGCGGAATCCAGCCTAAGCGAGTGAGCAACTGGGTTATAATATTTTTTTTAAAATAAAATATATAGCATTGAGCACGATTCTAAAGTTGTGTCTGTCTTTGTACATATGTCTAATCAGTTCATAAAATGACTGAGGCAGCTTGTCAGAATACAACCACAAATACTTTTTTTTCGTGCTTTATATTGTCTGACACGAATTTGTGATTCGTGTCCTATAGTAATAGAAACCCCTATAGAAAACACCGTCAACTTAAAGGTCGCTGCATTGTGGCTTTTGGACATAGAGCACAGTTATTTGTGCCTCTTGCAGTTAAGAGCACAAATAAAAATGGTGCCCAAAGCCACATATTCTAGTAGTGGGTGGAATCAGTGTAAGGCCGGGCGAAACCCCAATAAATGAGTCTTCCTTTTTGGTGAATGGTCACCCGAATATGACGCCATCAAAGTGCGCCGTCAAAGACTTTCTCATCATAGTGTGACTATCACATCAAATTACACAACTAAAGACTTTCTGGTCAAAATGGGACCATCACATCAGACTATGTCGTCAAAGA